GTTATTTAATAGAGTAAGCATATTGTCTTTATCTTCTGTTTTGATTACAGCAAACAAATCATCAACATATTTCGTTGGAATACGCGGTTTATTTTTAATAATAATAATAGATTGGCGCTTAAACATATGTTAATGTTTGGCCGAGCTTCTCCTCCGATTTGTGGCGTGCGCCTTGATGTTGTCACACAAAGCCGAGGGACCTACACTTTTACGCCGACTCCGAACGGCGATTGTATTTTTTTATGAGAAGCTGTTTTTCATGGTAGAAATACACTCGGTGGTTTGCCATTGCCTGCCGAGAGACGACCGCTGTTAAGAAAAAACCTTTTTTCTATATTTTTTGGCGATGCGGAGCGGAAGCGCGCACTGCTTACCACTACACCACAGCGTCCGGTTTATTTTTAGAATCCCCCTAAATTTGGTTAGTAAATCCTCCATTACGATATCTGCTATGACTGGTGATGCCGGTGACCCCATAGGCATTCCCGACCGTCGTTCGTATATTTTGTCATTATATTTGAAATAGCAGTTCTCTTTTATACAAAATTTCACCATACTTAGAAATAGTTCCTTTGGTAAATTTGTATATTCTTTAATGTCATTCCACTTGGAAGCAATAATGTTTATAACCAAATCCACCGGGATTCCAGGGAACAACGACACAACATCAAACGATACTAAACTTTCGTCATCATATATATAGGTATCCTCGATTTTCAATCGCGTCTCTTACATTATAGTCAGAAGATTTAGTTATATTTTTAAGAATATTAACAACATAATTACACAGATTATAGAATGGGGAGTTTATGGACGAACAAATGGGTCTAAGGGTGATACCTTGTTTGTGTGTTTTTGGCAAACCGTAGATTCCATGGTGGATTGGTTATTTTGCAAGATAGATTGTTCTTTTCTTCTGCGATTTTACGATTTCATTATTTTTGGCTTGTAATTTACTTGTAGGGTCACGTTTCAAAATTCTGTAAGTGGAAATATTGTTGACGATTAACTGCATCTTAGCATCATATTCCAACTTGTCCATAACCACGGTTACGTTCCCTTTATCAGTGAAGAAGCGACAAAAGGATTATAAGTATCGGACGTCAATCTTCAAACTTATTGCGCTGCTCTTGATAGAACTGGCCCATCAAATCGCGCCGGTGCTTTACTTGTAACATGTTTATAAGGATATTCGACCAGGAATCGCAGAAAAAGTATTAAAAAGGACTTACTTGTCGACATTGCGAAGCTTTTCACCGAAGTCGAAATGTATACCAGTCCATATGCATGCTAAATGCGTCGTCTGCCACTAGACTTGCAGTTAATAATTCGTCCCACGGTGGAAAATATTGAATATTTCTTTCATCCAGAAAACATTTTCCTATCTATGATAACAGACACGGAAAGTGACGATGCTGCAACCCTTCGAATAGATGCTTATACGAAGATTATGTCCTCTCGGGTCCATCCGCCTTTGTCTATCCCCAAATTTAATGTTCCTCGTGGAAGTAAAAGAGATAACACGTGTTTTTGTCGAGCTCTGTTAATTTTACATTTTTTAATGCTTGAGATAGTGACTCTTTTTATCTAAAAAGTTAACTATTGATATCAACAAACTCATCTAAAATGCTTGTGGACAAATAGTCGATCGCAATCGCGCAAAAGTGCAGTGTGCTAAGTGCAAAGAATTTTTCCATTTGGATCGCGCTGGTGATTCGCAGAAGGACTTGGAGTTTTTGCTCAACTCAGACAACAAATCCTTTTGTAAAGAGTGTACGGCCATTCGACGGATATCTATTTGCACTCCTCCGCATTCTGTAAAGCTGGTGGACAGTGAAACTGCCAATAATTTGCGTTTGAGAAACTCGGCCGGTGTGTGTGTGTGTCAATAACTTTTCCTCAAAGAACAACCGCAAAAGTCGGCACCAACTTAATGGCTTGGTGAGAATGTTAAAGAGACTGAGCTGCAAGCTACGTTATCTAACCCCCTTATTATAGAACCCGGATTTTCGTAATTCGTAATTCGTAGCTACGCTACGAAAAACGAAAAATCCACATGCTGAACCCTTGCGGAAACATGTGCAGCTGTCAGTTGTTTTTCGAAGACAGCTGAATCAAGGAAAACAAAGTGGAAAGGAATTTAAAAAAATACTCATGAAAGGCTTATTTATAGTAAAATTTTTTGATTTTACATATTTTGCAGGAAACTATGGATTCTATTGCATTTGCAATTATAGCAGCGGAGTAAGAGCGCGCTATGGGAATGATTTGACAAAGATATGCGGAGCTGTCGGCCATAGTAACCATGGGCGCATCTATGTCAGCTTCTGGTTGAATTGTTGAACCACAAGCCAAAACTCCTCCTATGCCTGAAGAACTGGTTCCCAATCCAGTTAATGCAACAACAGCTCGTTCCAACCCATTGAAAACTCGCACTCTGTTAGGTCCACCACCTATTGCGCTTGATTCTGCCTTCAGCCGCGCTTAGGGATTATAACCCTTACTAAGTAGAATTCTCCTTTCTGTGTTGCCGGAGAAGAGAGGTACAGCACTTCTTGTGCACATCACTCCGGCTACGCCATCCACAGTATTTTTGAGCAGAACCCACGTCGAAATTTGCAAAACAGTGCATAGTGCAAACCGAATTTATTAATAAGATAGTGCTTGGAAATTTGAAATATTTGTTTTGAATAAAATTTTAATCCTTCGATTACATGTGATGTTAAAGTTTTTGGATTCGGATTATGCGTTTGGACACAACAACCGAAAAGCATTGTAAAAATAATAAAAATTGTAGTTTAAAAAACTAAAACCTCCCTATTATAATTGCCATTCGTACTGTCATCAGGTATGTAACTTGAGAATAGAAATCGCTGCATCTTTTAGGCGATCAATATTACATAGTTACATCCCGAGCTAATAAAAGGAAGGTAATGACTAAACCGGACCCAAGTTTCTCGGTAAGGGGCAACAAAGATTCTGTTTTACTCGTTTATATAAAATTTATCTGTTTAAATGAACACCACTAATATTTCCTGCACAACACACATCGATTTACGTCTTTTATCTCGCCTCCAACACAGAATGGTTTTCGTACAAATTTACGCAAAAGGGCTTACTCGTTTGTTTTTAGGCATGCCATTGTTACGAATTTCGAAAGTTCGAAAATACGATTCGGATTGCAGCATACTATTTCTACGATTCGTAGCAAAATCCGAATAGAATTGTGCAGAATAGGGGTGTCAAATTATTTGTCACATTAAAGCTCTTAAGTCAGAGCAGACTCGTTCTATTGCTGTGATTCATGCTCTTCAAGCTGACAAGTGTCGTTTGGTAGAAACCACTGAGACACTGCACTCTGATTTAATATCTTTGCGTAAACAATATGTTGAAAACATGGCCAACGCGCTTTCTTCGCTCACACCCGAAGTAAAAGAGCTTCGTCGCTGTACATGCCATTACACGCGTTTAAATAATAATAAGCATAACTTGAACGAACACTGTCACGGACACGGGTTTGACCATCGGTAATGCTGATACTAATCGTCTTCGCTGCTCCTGCTTATCGCCGTTCATCTCTTTCGTCTTCGTCTGTTGCTGTCATTCCGGCTACTTCTGATTGCTCGCTGCCTGCTGTTTCCCCTGATCTTGTTGAGGGCTCTAACGCAGTCAGTACGAAGCCGTCGTCTTACGCCTCAGTCGCCGCGCCTATTCACCTTTCTTATGTTTCCTCTGATTCGCTCGCTCAAACGTCTGCTAGTATGACAGCGCTTGTCGTCGCTAATAGGATTTCTAACACTTCTTCTAATACAACGTCATGTGAGAGTAGCACAGCTGAGTTAGGATGTGCAAACAATCAAGCAACTAGTTATTGATGCATCTACTAGCGCCCATAATCACTACTGGATAAAGGTCTCGGATAAACGCATTGACCGAAACAAGTAGTGGTTAGCAGTGCGCGTTATCGCTCCGCATTGCCTGGGTTCAAGCCACGGTCAAAGCAACATCGCAAAAAATATAGACAATTTTTTTTTTGTTAACAGCAGTCGCCCCTCGGAGGGCAATGGAAAACCCCCGAGGCGATGGGAGTAGTTTATATGGGCGGAAAAAATGTTTTAAATTACATTTTATTGTTTTTTTTTTTGTATGTAATTAGAAATTTTCAGGTCTAAGAAAGTATGTACACTGCCGGCAAAAAGTATTGGCTCAGCAAATTTTTCACAATATATGCAACAGTATTTTTTCTAATTTTTTTCCGCCAATTTTTTATAAGAATATGGTTCATTCTACAACAAAAAACAAAAGTATAATTCCTAAACTTTGTGCAAAACTCACGAAAATTCAGCAAATTTTCATGCAAATTTTAAACTTTTTAATATTTTTTTTTAGATTTTTTTGAGTGTGCAGATTTGTTGTTTTTGTTGTTGTTGGCGGCAGCTGTGGTGTTGTGGTAAGCAGCCCGCAGGGCCTGGGTTCAAGTCCTAGACAAAGCAACATCGCAAAAAGTATAGAAAAAAGGGTTTTTCTTAACAGCGGTCGCCCCTCGGCAGGATATGGTAAACTTCCGAATGTATTTCTGCCATGAAAAACAGCTTCTCATAAAAATACAATCGTCGTTCGGAGTTGGCGTAAAACTGTAGGTCCCTCCCCTTTGTGTGACAACATCAAGGCGCACGCCACAAATCGGAGGAGAAGCTCGGCCAAATACTAACATATGTGTAAGCGCCAATCTATCATTAACCGACTTCCAAAAAAGGAGGAGGTTATCAGTTCGTCAGAATATTTTTTTAATTTTTATTTTTTTATTTTATTTTTTATTTTTGTTATGTATGTTACCGCATAACTTTGGACCACGTCAACCGATTTCGATAATTCTTTTTGCATCGGAAAGGTAGTGTTAATATCATACAAATCCATTGAAAAACAAATATTTTTTTATCTTTTAGCATTGCAATCTAAAAAAATAAAACTAATAAAAAAAATACTAAATAAAAAAAATAAAAAATTCTCTACACCCGAAGAGTACTCATACCCGGACCCTCTCGACCAGCAGCCTAACGCTAGGCGCACATTGCATCCGATAGGCCGACCGATTTCGGCCAAACAATTCGACCGTCCGAACTGATGCGCACACTTAACCAGAATATTTGCCGACCGTATTTGTACACACAAATCCTAGTTTTCATAACAATTTTGTAAGTAGTGAACTATTTTGATACATTTTAATTGACATACTCTAAACATGTGGTTTTATATGTAATTGTTTTGTTTTTGCATCCAATAACTTAATTTTTCGCAGCCCATTTGGTACTTTTCATCTGACATCGGACGAGAAAGACAAACATGTTTGAATTTCTCGTCACTGACGGACGTCAACGGCCGATGTCGGTTCGGTTATCGGTTTATGTGTGAGAACGCTCATATACTCACAAGTGTTTATTCATATCGCCCGCATATAGCCGATATCGGCGGAGCACAATCCGGCCGATGCCGGCTGCAGTGTGCGCGTAGCGTAATGCTTTGACCACTCGGCCATTGCGACTCTTTGGGCGGCGCGGCAAAAGGCATACATAAACGCTATCAGTTAACTGTCTGTGTTTGTTTTCACCACACATTTTTGGTGAACTTTTTGTGACTCTCTCCTACTGAATAGCCAAATCATCTCAAGGCACAAAAATAGTCACTAATTACTTATCTCAAATTTAGAGACCTGAGATGAGACTGAATTACTGAATCCCGGGGCAAAACTCACAAAGGCATATGGAATGGCCCATAACTACGGCGACAGCGTTTTTACCGCCGACGTTTTTCGGTTGATTTAAATTTATTTCTATTTTTACCGCCCAGTGGGGCCGGCACAATGTTGATTGAATGTTGACTGTAGTAATTTGTATTATTTTCACAAGTATGGCAATGTTTTCATCAATTTTTATTTCCAGCAAATCTGCATACACGCACGTACCGAAAAAATATTTAATTTGAATGATAATTTTTAAATCAAAATGACCAATGACGGAAGCCGTCATGCGCTGCAATTGTGTTTACTATGACGGATTTCACGCTGAAATTCTGGGTAGAGCTTTCCGCTTGCAATCCGTTTAGTCCGTAAAAGCTCGACACTATATCCAACTGCGTTTCCGTAGAAATCAATTTCAAAGGGTGTAATAGCGATACATAATGCGCTGGATAGTTTTCGTCATAGAATCTTATTTCCAATGATGTTATTAAGGAATCTAGATAAGGGATATAAAGAGAACATTGAAAGTATTCTCTCGGCGATGCGAATGGGTGGTTTGCTCTATATCTTTGTCGATCAACTATACGCGGGAGACGTAATTCAATATTGAAGTGGTCAGTTGAATTCGTTGCTGATTCTAAAAGCTGTACAGAGTGACTGTCAACGCATTGCTTGTGTTCTTTTATTATTGTTATTATATGCTAAGCACACTCAATTACATCCACGTTTTCAGACTGGAGTACATTGGCCTTTGCTATAATCTTGCTATACTTCTCGAATTAGGCATGATGCCAGTATGAATATGGGCTGTCCAGCTGCAGAAAGCAATTAAAAAGCAACTGTCCTTGTGCCTACATTCCCGAATGTATTTCTCACAGCGGTTAGAAAACAAATATAAACGCATACATATTTCATTTAACGCGAAGTCAAAATTAGCTGGTTTTCTTTATACAGATTCTGCGAAAAATTTCCCTTTGCGTTGTTGATGGCGAATACAGACGACGATGGAACGAAGATCTGTATGAGCTTCCCAACGATAAAGACGTAGTGCTGTGAATAAAAAATACTAAAAAATACCAGCTCTGAAAGTATTCAACTCGGAATCCGCCCCAACCGTTGGAAAGTCCAGGTTCCAATAGGCGTCAATTGGCACAGAAGAGAAATGACTGGCGCGCTCTTTTGGACTCGACCAAAATGGCTTAAGCGGTTACAACGCCAATAAATAAAAAGAAGCAAATGTTAAGGGTTTCGAGTGAAGGGGTGGGTCAGCTTGTCCCCCTCCCTGTATACGCCCGTGGTTTTTTTTGTGTCATGCAGAATTTTAGAAGAAAGACGTAGACGATTGCTTGATGTGAATTCTTTTCTATGAAATTAAAAAAAAAATGTATAGTTCCTGCCAGGCAAGGCGTTTGGTCAAGCTTTTGTAATAAGCAGGGAACGGATTTTATGGAAAATGCCTTTTTTTCTGCTAAAGAGATAGAGTATATTCGATTAAGAATTTCCACGATTTAGCTTTCCCTGATTCCATTAATGCACATTTGATGTTGCCTTTTTTAAGATATTTGCCTTTTTTAAGATATTTGCCTTTTCTACCTTTAAAAGAGTGATTATAGCATTCACAGTTTTTTTTTAAGATTAAAAGATGTACACATGCCCATGCGGCTTATAGAAGCGCAGGGACCTCTTGCCAAATTGTTGTTGGAAAAATTCTAAGCCGTTTTCTCAGCTAACGTAGGCTTGGAGACAATAAGGGGTGTGGATAAAATTGTTAAGGGCACGAGCGCACATTTGGTACATTCAAGGCTTTTCTTCGCGAAAATCGAAAGAAAATGCTGCCAGAAAACTTCAAAATGCATCTTGTGGTTCAATGTTACTACAACTATACAGATTAAAGTTTTATGAGTTAGAAACTCGAAAGGATAAAATAGTCAAAGATTCAAAGTACTAATTTTTCATATAATGAAACTAGTTCATAGTTTTTCTCTTTTTACTTGTAATATAAACATTTCTGAAATAAATGTCTTTTTTGATTGTTCTTCGTATTTTCTGTCTTTTTTTAGTGCCTTATTTTGCTTTTTTTGCAAAACCTAGTGCCTTTTTCGCTATTTTATTTTGCCTTTTCCAACCTATTTCGTTATTTTATTTTGCCTTTTTTATAGGTTTTTAGGTCCTAAAAATCCGTTCCGTGGTAATAATACACGTGCGATAAAGCCTATTTATATATAAAACGTCTCAATTTGAAAAAAAGTCCTGGAAAAAACTAGGCGTCGTGAGTGTGCTTGAATGTGATTGAAAAAAATATAAGAGAACGTGAGTGTGCGTGATTTACAAAACCATCAACGTGAGCGTGGGTGAACGTGAATCAAAATCACTCACGCGCCCATATCTAATTCAAACGTATGCTTTAAACGCAAATGTAGCCAAACTAAATAATCTGTAGTTGATTTCACAGCTCATTGATTTACTCTAGTTTGAAAAACATACGTATACCAAAAAAAGTATCTTCGAAGGGAACTACAGATATCGAAAACGATTGGTAAAAAGTAATTTTTGCGTTCTAAACAAAATAAAATGTACATACATATAACGAACTAGCAGTGGATTTTAAGATGCAGTTATATAAATATTCTAGATGAAAAAACCGGTTTATTCGGGCAAAACTCCGATTTATTCGATATTCGAAAAATCGCTATTTTAAAAAAACTGCCCAAAAGTTTTGAAAAAGCCAACTAAAACCCCTTGGAAAAACCGAGCCAATCACCCTACACTGTATTACCCTGCCCACTAGGGTGGCCTTTAGCCATATACACATTAACTTGTAAAGATAATAATGATATACAATAGCAATTTGGGTAGCTGGCGAGGCCTAGTCTCCAGTCTACTTTTGTGTGCGGCGGGCGGAAAGACCTAGTTTCCGCTCCGCGCTGTTTATAGGCCGTTAATCATGGTCGGAAAGGCCGAGCTTCCGATCCATGTTCCCGTAGTCATTACTTTGTATGTCAGGCAGGCGGAAAGTCCTAGTTTCCGCTCCGCGCTATAGACGAACTGTTCGGTCGCGAAAATATACGAAGCCGTTACAATTGTACTAAGCAGTCATAGATATTGTGTAATTTTGCGTTCACGGTTACAGATATTAGTTTATTTAGTTAACTTGTTGAGCAAAGTTTCCTTTATTAAAAAAAGCGATTCAGATGTGTCGAAGCAATCATAATACTTGTTAAAATCTTGGTATAAACACCGAAAAGCATCATGCATTTCAAAGTTTGATTTACAAATACTCAACACAAAGGTTTAAAATGTCTCGTATGTATTTAGAAATAAAATATGTGAGTAGTTAATGATTATACTTTTTCAGCCTGTTTCATTGGAAGCGTTGCACAGTGGTTCGGATAGCAGATCTAGCTGGACGAAAGTCAAAATTTTTTTGTTTTTAAAATACTTAATGATACTTGGAATACATTCCTGACAATACATTCAAATAGAAATTGCATTTATTAAAGCATTAACATATGAAAACAAACAAAAAAAAGGTAAGTCAACGCCGTCTATTTGAGAACTCTATTTTAAAAGCTGAAATTTAACTTAAAAGATTGCTAACTGCACTCACAGATATTTGCATAATTGCAAATTGACTTTATAAACAAAAAATTACACTTATTCCACTATATATTCAGAGGTCATAACCCAATTTATGTCCACATTGGTATAAGCAAATTTATGTGTGTTAAAACAGAAAAATACTTGGAGTTATAAAAACTTTGGTTATGTAAGAGTTAAAAAAAAAAATAGTAACTCGCGAATTTTCTGATTTCTGAAATTAAAAAACTATACAACAGGCATGCAAATCTTTAAGCGCTGTTATAAATTTTTTTCTGAAATTTATTTGTGTTTCTTGCTGAGATCTTAAATTTTAGTCATGGTAAAGAAAATCTTAAGAAGCGAGTTGTTTGACATTTGGAGAAGTGTTGCTGAAACTTCTAAAAGACAACAAGGTGTCCGTGATTATGTGATTAGTAAATTGAAAGAAATATCTGATGAAAATGCTCGTTCCGAAGTAAATAAAGTAAATTAATTAAATGACTTAAGATTCGTAATCAACAACCCAGAAAACCCCCAGATACCCAGTTACATAGAAATCTACCATTTTTTTTTAATTTTCGTCCGCCATTTTGAATTTTTGGGTAATTGACTCTAGATATGTAATCAGAGACCCAGAAAACCCCCAGATACTCAGTTTCATATAAATCTACCGATTTTTTTTAATTTTCGTCCGCCATATTGGATCCGCCATTTTGAAATTTGATAAGTGACTTCATATTCGTAATCAGCGACCCAAAAATCTCCTAGGTAAGAAGTGGTGTAAAGATCCATCAAGGAGTATTTGTTTAAATCATTTCGTCCAACTAGATTTGCGATCCGAACCACTGTGCGTTGCAGCCACCTTTCTGAACAGTTAAA